AGAATAATAATTTTGTTAAGATCTTCTTTTGCAGGCGAATCTAATTGAGTTGACTACTTTATACACAAAAAATCTTAAATATTTATAAATATGTTTGATCTTGAGTTGTCAAAAAAGTAAAGTTTGTATATGCTACAAACTTAGATAGGTTAGTATTTTCTTTAGTTCCTCTCTTGAATGGTCCTCATTTTTCTTTTTCCCTATTTTTCCTCTTCTTGGACTCTTTTTCTATCATTGTTTTTTTTTTTTTTTTATTGTATTCTTTTAGTTCACTAGTTATCTAATAATGTCTCCACCTATCTATCTATCTATCTATTATTATTATTAATATTATTGAGAATTGTAAATAAGAATATCTTGGTAAATCGGTAAATTAAATAGTAACGTTTAAAATAAAAAATTATGCATTTTTGGTGCCTCAACTTTAAATTGGTTGAGGTATTAAATTAAAATACCTCAACCCACTTAAAGTTATCATGTAACAAAATTTATTATTTTGTAGGTAACTTTTAAGGAAATATCTTACAATTTTTTATTGTTGCATATTGCCACATACAAAAGCCTTTTGTAGGATCATTTGGAAAAATATAAATATATATATAAACACACACACACACACACACACACACACACACACACATATTAATTTCGAGATTGATCATAGCTTTTATAAAAATGGATGAAAAATATCGACAAAAAGTGAAATCTTCGATCTCATATAACATCATGGAAGATTTGAAATTTGTTCCATTATATAATCAATGGTATGTTGTTCTTCCAAAATATGAAAATATGCTAATAATATTTCTATATTTTTTTTCTTTTGATTAGTTCGTGGATGGAGTTTATGGCCTAGGCAGAAAAGTATCTAAGTAAATCTTTTTTTTTAAATGAATTTTGATTTTTTTAAGAGCTATTATTTTATTTTTGGGAATGCACTTATTCAAATATGACTTGAGATGAGCTCTACTAAATTTCGAACAATGGCTGCCAATATTCCAAGCTAGTTAGTCGTGATTAAGATTGTTATTTACTTTTTTTTTATTTGGCTTAAAGGTTTTAGGAGTGAAAAATCTAGTTATTCAACCTTATTATTTTGGCTTTATGCGTTAAAGAGAGTACTGGAATTATGGCTCTCGAGGAGAATACCATAATTTTGAAGTCTCAGTGAAAAAAAATTAACTCACGATAGATATTCAAAAATATTGTGAGTAATTTTCACACAGAATGAAAAACTAACATAAAAGAATATACGTGAGAAACAAAAGCCTAGATTTCTTTAAAATTACGACTCTAGTGCTAGTTAAATAGGTAAAGTTGTGAGTGAATAAGTAGTAATGACTTTGATTTATTGTGTTTGTCTCATTGTGTAACGATGATTTTTAGATATCAAAGTATCCACTTGCCAAAGTTCTAGTAGTACTCAATATGTGTTCTTTTCATGTGATATTGTTAGTAGTTAGCATTTTTTTTTTAGTTATCATAATTAATTTGTTCACTCAAGTACAACTTATACATTTTAGGATTCAGAACCTCTTTTAGGTTATAATATTACATTTGTCTTATTATCTAGGTCGACACAAAGCTAAATGCTTTATTTCTATACGCTTAAAGTTTTCTTATTGAGTATTTTGTTTTCGTTCATTCTAGAAAGGTATGTGTCGAGGCTATTGGGTGAAAAGTAATAGATGGCTTGAATAAGTAAAATATGAATGGAACAATAATAAATAAGTTTTCATCATTCATGGATATTGTTTCATTGTAATAATTTATTTAGAAGTATTTTATTACAAGTTAGAGTAAATCATTAACGCGTAATTCATGGTTTCATTTATTTGAATACAATTTTATTTATCAATGATTATAACCTTTTGACTATAAAATTAAATAAGTAAAATATTGTCAATCAATGAAGTATTGTGAATTTCGAACTATTTATAGTATTATAATTTTGTTTTATTGTCTCAATTAAACGATGACTTATAATAATCTAAATAATTTAGTAAAAACTTAAATTTTGTTATGAAATATCTATATAAAATATAAAGAAAGAAATAGTTCATAAATTCCTTTACAGTAACGCGATCAATTAAAAAAATGTAGATGTAAAAGTATTATAAATTTTATTTTTTACGCATTTAAACAAACTATGTTGTTTTTTTACACAAGTATAAAATTTAGTACGCTAAAAAGATTCACCTCGTATTAGGTACTTCGACATTGAAGTTCTTCTTGCTCTTTTATCTTTGAATATGTACTTATATATATATATACATATTAAAATATATCTTTTCAAGTCAATGGATCCTAAACAATGTTAGAATTCAACAATAAACAACTTAAATTTTGATTTTTTTTTAAAGTTGTAAATCTTATATATATATATATATTATATATATGAATTTTTTTTCTTCTTGTAATTAGAATCTGTTAGTATAATTAATTGATAATAAAAATAATTAACCATAATAAGTCTCTATTCATTAGTTGTTTTATCAAATTCACACATAAATTATGAAAAATATAATAATTATAATGCCTACCTTCTGAAGTTATAATATTATGGTCATTATATTTGTCGTAGATACGTACATATGTAACAACTTTGAGTGTGCCGCTCCTTCCAAATAATAGGAGATAAGTGTGACACGTAAAAAACTAAGCTGGTTAATTACCATGTATAATTATATAATTAACAATAAATGGGAAACTCTTTGCTGGTTAATTACCAAAGAGAAAACGTAAAGTAAGCTGTATTTACCACTTAGATTATTGTTAATGTCAAATCTTATCTCTAATTAAGTTTGTTAATGCTGTGAATTACGAGCAATATATAGCTATTTAATTTCCATTTTCTTCTGTTTTTTTTTTTTAAATTTTTAAATTTTTAACTTTTAACCTTTTTTTTTTTTTTGTTTTTTCAAGATCCATTGAATGAAACTATACAGCTTATCATTATCCTTTTGAAATTAATTTGCACTCATCTTAGATTATTATTCTATATGAATATATAGTGTATTCGTTATTTGCTACTATTTAATTACTTTTAATATATATCTCTCTCTCTCTCTCTCTATATATATATATACATGTTTAATTTAGTACATTAGCTATCCCAATTTAATTAATTATTTATATGGTAAAATATGTATTATTTAAATTAAAATGCTTTCATTCATATTTATCATATATTCATTTATATAACCAATTATTTAAACAGTTATTTGGAAATTTATATTAATGGCTCTTTGAATCATTTATATATATATATATATATAATCATTAGTTTGCTATAATTAATTTCTACATATGTAACATTCCTCATCTTTTTCTTGTAGCTTTTGGTCTATATATCTATATTTATGTATATGTATATCACACACACACACACACATGAATGATCGATTCATTATTCAAGGTGTGTGTATATATATATACATATATGTATATGTAAGTGTATGTAGTCCAATTCGTATAAAAGAACAAATTTCAAAATGAAATCTCTCCTTAATTTACACCCAAAAAAATTGATGTAAATTTTATCTTGATTGCGTCATAAATTATAATATAATAAATCATCAAAATGGTAGATACGTAATAATTTTTTTAATAAAGGCAATTTATACAAATAATAAAATTAGATAAAGATTTAAAAGGATAAAAAAAATCATATACATATACATATATGTATATAGCCCCCGCCCCCCAAGTCCCACCGTATCTGTTTGTCCTCTTATTATCCCTCGTTTTCCTCGCCTCCTGATGAATTCCGAGAAGTCCCTATACTCTCACAGACAGCATACGGTCCTCTCTTCCTCTCCTCCTCTCCACTTTCAATTCGCTTCTGATCTTGTCTCTCCCTACTCTGCTTTCTGCTATAACCAATTTCACTGCCTATAAACTCTTACTCCTGCACGCTAGTCTGATATTTCCTTACGATTCGACGGCGACGACGACGACGCCATTGTTGTGCTTGATAAGTGATTGCTTTGCTGGCTTTTTACGAGCTTTATCTGTATTTTCCAGATTTGAATTGTTTAATTCTTATCGTAGTATAAACATGCATAATATCTGTCGAGTTTGTCTGTTGATTGTTGCGTGTTCCTTTCTCGAGTGGTACAAGCGATTGTTGCAGATTGTCTTGGGGTTGTTTGTGGTGGAGTTTGCTTCGTGTTTAAGGTTTTTCACTAATGGCGGGAACGGTGAATTCGGAGGTCCGTTTCTGGTGTTAGGCCAGTTCTCGAAATTTATTAACCTCGTAGGCCTGGTTTTCATGTTCATTTTGGGGTTTAAGATCTTGGAGTTCAATTTTCATGGAGGGAGTTTGGTGAAGAATGTATGGGCTTTTGATGAGAAAAAATCCGAGAGGATTAACATGTTTTTATCGAAAATTGAATTCGAGAATGTCTCCGAACGGAATTGCGGTGGTTCGTTGAAATCAGTGGAGATCAAGACAGGAGGAGTGAAAATGGAGAATACAATTAAAACGGAAGATCAGTCAGTCAAGTTTAAAATTGACAGCAAGGGAATTGCAGAGCAATTGGATGATGATGATGATGATGATGGAAATAATGATAATCGAGGATTGGTTTTTCAAGAGGATGAAGAAATTGATGTAGTTGCATTGAGGAGACTGGTGAAGAAGGAGAGGCGGAAAGCCAATGCGACTTATGCAGAGCTCGAGGAAGAAAGAATGGCGGCGGCATCGGCAGCGGAGGAGGCCATGGCTATGATTCTGAGGCTGCAAAGAGAGAAAAGCGCCGTAGAAATCGAAGCCAAACAGTTCAGGAGAATGGCAGAGCAGAAGCAAGAATTCGACAAGGAACTCATCCAGTCACTGCAATGGGTTGTAATGAAACATGAACCAGACTTCGATATATCAATCGATCGTGCTGTGAATTCAGAAACCGTAGATGTTTCCGAAGGATGGTGATCAACAACTCCATGGAATTTACAAAAGCTGATCATCAAGATGGTTGATTAGCATCTTTTGCCTTTAATTAGTCCTTTCGTTGTTTCATTCTTTTTGAGAGTCCGAACTGCAACAAAGCTCCATCTGTTGTGTGTTTGAAAATTTGAAAAAATGTTCTGTATTGACATTATCCTGTTCATAATCGGAGCACTGCAAATCGAACTTGAAACAGTGTTCATCAGGATGTGCGACTGTTATAATCTTCTCACTAGGAGAAGTATTATATGTGTTTGTGTGTATATATGTGTTTGTGTGAATGTTTGTATCGTCATGATGGTTCTCTTCTTTCTTTTGTTTTTTTCTGTTTTTTTTTTTTTTTTTTTATGAAACATGATGGTTCTTTCTTGTATATATATGTATATGTAAATCTTTCTTTCATTATTGCCTTCTTCTCCCCGGTAGAAAGCATATGTATATGTATATGATACACTACTTTCAATCCTTCTATGCATTATATATAGGTTCAAAATATCAAAGCATGTAAAATTTTTCAAGCAATCACAGCTGATGCAGCCATTAATGAGGGGACATGGTTCTTCTTTCTTGAAGCAATAAGCATTCTAGATTTTTATTTTTTTTTAAAAAAAAAAAAAAAACTTTTTTTAAATGATATTTCAGTATCATGTTTTCTACGCTTTAAAATGAATATTTTGTGGTAATAAATGAAATTAATATATTACATATTGCACAATATACTACACTCTTTTAATAATAGATTACCAATAATTAGTTCTCTCTCTCTCTATGGGTAATATATAAAGTTGGAGAAAATATTTTTCATTATTTATTTTCACTTGACATGTTCCTCTTTTCCCTTTATCTTCCTTATCTCTTTTTTTTATGTTGTAATGTTATTTATACATTCTTGTTAATTTTTATTTAAAAATTATTTTAATTTTTTTAAAAAAATATATAATAAAAATATATTTTTATTCAAACTGTAATAATAATTACAAAATGAGTATAGAATAAATTCACATATTTAGATAATTAAAAAATATATATTTATTCAGATCAATTACGTATTTAAAATAGATATAAATTTAGTTAATAAACTTCACTCTACAAGTAATTTTTTATACCCGTAACCTAAATTATTTATCTATTTTTTCATTTAAAAAACTTTCAAAATAATTATTTTATACCGTCCAATAAACTTTAAATTAACAAAATAAAAGATAAGTTGATACTTAATATATTATTCATCAGTATAAACTGATCAAACTAAATTATTTAGCTTGTTTCACATAAAATAATGTACTAAATTATTTAACCTGTTTCATATAAAATAATATATTAAATGTAATCTTAAAATTCATAAATATGACGGAGCACATACAAATATGAAGCGGGTACTACACCCGATTTTCTTCTACCCATATGCACCCTGTGTTTCTTATTTTTTTACTTATTTAACCGCTCCTAACGAAGTGAGTTGGAGCGAGTTAATTCGTAACTCACCTTGTTGGCGATCCCTGCCAAACGCGCCTTACATCATGTTTGTTGGCTAACCCCACACTCGCTCTATAGGCCGTGTTTGCTTGCCTTTTCTTTAACGCATTATACAAAGGAAAAAAATAACTAAATTCTCGTCATGCCAAACAGGACCCTGGGTTTCGTCTACAAGCCCATCGCTGACCCCATTCCCACAACCAAAGTGGCAGTCTTCCTCTGCGGACAAACTACCATACAAACATCCCAACGAAAATCCATTGATCGTGCGGTCGATTCGCCGGCCGATCGCTATCGCAGGTAGTAATTATGGTTGTTAACTGAGAAACAGAGAGAGAGAAATGGATATGGAGTTTCATTTCTTAAGATGAACAAGGTATGCTTTTGACTTTACGTTGCTTAGTGTCAATCCAGTGATAGGGCTGGTTCTGAACTTCGAATTTTGAATTTTTGTTTTCATTGAGCTCTTTCTTTCGATTAGTTGCGAAGGAATGCTTAACTTGTGGTTGCATTTCGTATTTCGATTTAATGACTGGATAGTTAGTCTGTAATCAATGAGGAACAAGTTTCTTTTTGCTACTTCTAATGGAATATTGATAACTTCTGTTTACAAGTAAGAGAATTGGGATGGGCGTTCTTCAATTATGAAGGAGTCGGCTTTCTTTTTTAGCACATTTGAATGTTTTGAGTGTATTATGGGATTAAAGAAATTTTTTATATATACCTCTTTTCTGAAAAGAGTTAAAATAAGAATAGACTTTTTACATAAATGAATCTGCTGAACTACGTTGTATATGTGCATCTGGACTGAAGTAAGTCAAAAAATTTGCAGGACTTGTTATGATTATATGACCCGTTTAATTTCAATAGAAACACACCTCATAGGGTCATGATTAATTTGACTTTTCAAAAGGAAAAAAAAACTGTAAAGGTGATGAAGTAGCCCTAAGTAGCTTATGAACGTTTCACGGAAATATATGCATGCTTGTAACATCTGTTCCATGCAATTTGTCTTTGATTCTGTTCTTTAGCTCTTAACTAAAATTGGAAATTATAATAAATATGTTATTAATTCTTTTCAACTTATTTTCTGTTGTTTCCATGTTGATATTTCTTTGTCGATACTTCCTTTCATCATTCCACAAAATTCTATTATTCATGGCAAAGTAATGACTTATTAAAATCCAATTATACCTTAGCTTTGATGATTGAGAAGGAAAGAAAATGAAATGAAAAATACAAAGAAACGAAATTACTTAAACCATCTTTGACTATTTTATTCCAAGTTTTTTTTTTTTTTTTTTTTTTTTAAATTGCAGAGTGTGTTTAGTGAACTTCCAGTTCTTCCCAAAGAAGAACATCTGTTTCAATGATTTTTTCCAAAACATGAATTTCCTAACATAACATTGAATGAAGTAGACATTTACATTACTAGTCCAAGTTAGAGTGATTTTTAAAAATGGAAACAGTACACTTGAAGTCATATTGAGATCATATCTGGAAATAGGTTAGGCTTGGGTTCAGGTTGTTTCAGTTTCATCAAGCCAAGTTATTTTCTGGTTTCTGTCGTATTCTTATAATATAGTTTGGGTTAGGTCAGTTATCAGATTAGTTAGGCTGGGTAATTTCCTCAATTGTGCTTTCTAGCTTCTATTAAAGATATGAGCAGCAATGGACATGATATAGTTAAGATATCTAAAATGGTTCATAGTTTGTTTCCACGTAGGTTCTATATTTCATTCATCTTTGATGGATGTCCGGAGTGGCACCGAGTTAAGTGGTCCTCCAGGGATGCTCCCTCCTCCGCCTGGAACTTTTGTAGATCGAGAAGAACTTATCCAACATGTTGGTGAGTTTGCTGTATCTCAGGGATATGTTGTAACTATTAAACAATCTAAGAGGGATAAAGTTGTGATCCTTGGCTGTGATAGAGGGGGTGTTTATCGAAACAGGCGGAAACCTGTTGAGGAGTCCTCTAGTGAACCAATTCGCCGAAGAAAATCAGGATCCCGGCTTACTAATTGCCCATTTGAACTTGTGGGTAAGAAGGATGATGGGTTATGGGTACTCACCATTAAAAATGGAACTCACAATCATGAACCATTAAAAAACCTTTCAGAACATCCTTCTGCTCGTCGCTTCACAGAGAAAGAAGTTCTGTTAATTAAAGAGATGACAGAAGCTGGACTGAAACCTCGCCAAATTCTAAAAAGGTTGAGACAAAGCAATCCAGAGCTCTTGTCCACTCCAAAGCATGTTTACAACGTTAAAGCCAAGCTTCGGCAAGGAAATATGGCAGGTGGAAATTTCTCTTTTCCAGCTCTCTTTATTTGAGGGTTTTATTTGCTCCATGTTTCCTCTCATTTTAAAGTTCTTTGTGCTTACTTCCAAACCTAGATACTCTATGCCGTACGAGTCTTCTCTCTTCAGGATTTACCATTTTGGAGGGGTTTATATATCACTGTTTCTCATGAGTCTAGCTTCATCACTCTGTGGCATTGATTCATAATATTGATTGTAGTATGTACAATTAATATTTGTTGGACTTCTATCCAGCATTTCCTTGGATGATAAAATTCAGAGAATTCTATACTTGAATCCTTGAGTGATGATTAGCCGATGATTTTCGCAATGCCCCATGATTCTATAAGAAAATGTTACTGTTTTCTCAAGGATTTCTGCAGTTCTCTTTCCATCTCTGAAAGCCCTATAAGTATCAAAAAGTAAAGAATTAGTGGACGATATATTAGACTTGAAATAATGCTAAATTTTGAATTATTAATGGAGTTGTTTTGGAGAATATGGGTTTTTGAGGGCATATGTTTGCTAATGATCATGTGGATCATGAGTGTTAAAGACACTGTTATATTCTTCTTAGAGGCAATTAAATTCAAATAAAATGTTGGATTTCACTTTAAAAATATTACCAAAGAGTGGTGGTTACTGTCTGTATCAACATTTCTAGGGGAAGATATTGGAATCCTTATTTCCCTATATAGATGCTAATGTTTGTTATAACAGTGAGGACATTCAAGTCACTTAGACCTGAGAAATCTGCTGTGAGGAACAATTATGTCTCAGTTATGGAGTCTTCTTGGAGGCAGCGCTACCCTCTGGTAAGCTTAGATGTAATATGATGCCTCTTCAAGTTAGCAAATTTTATCCTCATTACTTGGTTTTGAAGGAAATAAGACCGAAGAGATCATGTTTGGATGTTTCTTTCCTCTTGATGAAAGAATAATAATTTTTAGGTTTACCTCTGAAGGTCCTAAAAATGTTTTTTCTTTTTTCCTTTTTCTTGATAATACTTCTTATATCTCTATCATATAATGATTTTCTCTTAAGCTGCTCTTGATTTTAACACTTCACTACTGTACCTCAGAGGGTCCCCAATCTCGTAGGAGGTAGATTTGTTGAATCACAGTCTTTTGCATCAATAGATGTTATAAATCCTGTAAGTTCAGGAAGTCATTTAAGATTTAATCTATATGTTATTTTCTCATTAGGAATTTATTTCCCTAATTAATTATCAAATCTTGGTAGGCTACCCAACAAGTGATTTCTCAGGTTCCTTTGACTACCATTGAGGAGTTCAGAGCTGCGGTCTTTGCAGCAAAACGGGCTTTTCCTACTTGGCGAAACACTCCAATTACCACCCGTCAGCGAATCATGTTCAAGTTTCAAGAGCTTATTCGGAGAGACCTTGTATTTTCTAAATTTGTTAATTTATTTCATTTAACGAATATATTATTTTTCCTCTAACATGAAACAAAGTTTTTTATTTTATTTCTTTTAGCACAATATTTTTCCTTTAACATGAATGTCTCCAATAATGGGAATGAGTGCGACTTTTCTTTCAGGATAAGCTTGCTATGAACATTACTGATGAGCATGGAAAATCATTGAAGGATGCATATGAGGATGTGTTACATGGATTAGGTCAGTATCTTATTTTCTCTTTCCATCTAAGAATTGTCGTAGGTTAGCTATGTGCCATAAGAGGTCCTGGCTTTGTCATACTAGAGGTGGTGGAACATGCTTGTGGTTTAGCAACCTTGCAAACTGGAGAGTTCGTGACGAATGTGTCTAATGGAGTTGATTCCTATAGCATTAGAGAGCCACTTGGTGTTTGTGCTGGAATCTGCCCCTTTGACTTTCCAGCTATGATTCCATTATGTGTAAGCTTATATTTCCATTTGTTTTTGCTTGCTTGCCTTTAGTTTCTGCCTCAAGTACAGCTTTCAGATGGCTATCACGCATTACACATTACAAACTGTGGATATAGGTTATATGTTATGCATACATGATATTAGGTCAAACATATTTTTTCCCAACATTAGTTTTTGAGGACTAAGGTAGAATGAATAGGATTTCGAGAGAGAAAAAGTAAGAAAATGTTTGGATTGCTTTACCAGTTTGAATGTTTAAAAAAAGAAGGAAGGGAGAGAAAGGAAACAAGAAAATATGTTTATCATTTTGCTTTCTTTAATTAATAGTTCTTGTAATTCAGTTAGGCATATAATTATCTTCACATTGGCACTTTGTTTGCATGAAATTAGTAAAGAGGGAGTGTGACGATATAGCTTATCTACTGCTAGCTTTATTGATTTTCTCTATGTTTGTTTCATGATTTTAAATCTTATGGTAAAGTAATTTTATTCTTACAGGAACAATTCTTTTGTTTATTTTAACCCTGTTAATCCGCAGATGTATCCTATTGCAGTCACATGCGGCAACACTTTTATCCTAAAGCCGTCAGAGAAGAATCCAGGTGATATTTTCTGTCCTAGTAACATCAATAAATCGAGTTACCATTTGGTGCAATGGGTATGATTAAGGTAGCAGAAAGTCCTTTTGGCTTACATGAAATACTTAGAAACTTTACTGCATGTTACCTGTTTGCTAATGTGGACTTCGTTTCTAAGCTCATTAAAGTTTGCTCATGCTGGTCTCACCTTCTCGTATATTTTGTTGAAGTTTCAATATCAGTTATTGTGATGTCATCAGCTGTTTACATAAGAAATGCATAATATTAGTATGGAAAAAGTTCATAATACTGGGAATTCGTATATAGGCAAAATGAAAATGTAAAATTCCTCAATGAAGAATCTTTTGATGGTTTTTCTTACCACTGACCAATTTGAGGGAAAATATAGTTGAAAGTCCTTGTCTCTAGTTTTCTTATTGTTGTTTGAGAAATGATTTTTTGGATGAAAATTTACATAATTGTACTGTAATTTTTTTTTTCAGATAACATAATTGTATTGTAATTAAAATTCAGAATACTGACGATGCTTAAAATAAGTTGGAGGTTTAATTATATGGGTTTTCTAGATATTTCTTTTATTAGAAAAAAAAAAGCTTTATTAAGATAGGAGAAAAGTACAAAGAGGAGAATAAGATATTATCCTAAAAATTGCAAACAAAAGAAAGAAAAATCCTTTAAAGAACATAAATGAACAAATTTGTATGGGCTATTAATGAACAAAGATGATAGTCTCATAAGTGGAGATTGGAAATAGCTATCTCAGAGAAATAACTGTGTGTCTTGATCCATTAAGTTTCCAAAAAGATTTTGTCCCATATCTCATGGAAAGTTTAGTTTTTTATATATTAGTAACTATATATCCTTCCAATTTAGCTTAAGTAATTATATCTTATGATTTTTTTACTATTTGTCATATTGGTGAGTCTACAATGTTAGAATTTTATGTAGGATTTAGGAGTTCTTTTTAGGATTCAAGTCCTATGGATTGACGTTAACTCTGAATACTTTGTAATCTTTTTGTAATGGAAACAACTATAACCAGATCAATTTTTTTAACAGTTTGCTCCGTGTGATTATATGAAGCAATCATG